CAGAGATCTGCCTGCCTCTGCCTCCCTGAGTGCTGGGATTGTGTTTCTATTTGGATGTTTCAACTGGAGTCATCTTGCATCCACTTTTTCTGCATTTCTTTATAACTATGGCATTAAACAATTTAGTTCTATGTCATGCTTTTTCTCAGTTTTAAAATTTACAGTTTAAGATTTTCATTTGATAGTAAAATTTCCTATTATCTGTTTCATACACTGTTTCTTACTTTAACACATTAGCTATATGTTAAAAATACTGTGCATTCATTTCTAATATCTGGATTTTTTAGACCATATATTTTATTGCTGTTTTTGTTTATAGAATTTAGTTATGTTGGGGCTGGAGAGATGGCTCAGAGGTGAAGAGCATTGCCTGCTCTTCCAAAGGTCCTCAGTTCAATTCCCAGCAACCACATAGTGGCTCACAACCATCTGTAATGAGGACACACAGACAGAATATTGTATACATAATAAATAAATAAATATCTTTTAAAAAGAATTTAGTTATGTTTATGTGTGCCTTGAAATTCCTATGGGACTTTAGGTAACTAGGTAAAAGCCATCTTGTATCGTGGTTCTATTACCTTCCTCTAGGAGGAGGTCACCTTTTGCTATCAGTTTGATAGAGTGCTATCTATCCACTCTAATGCAAACAGGCACTGTCCTTGTTTGAGGTTCTTTGCAGGCCTAATAAGCACCCAACTCTACAACATTTACAGTTGAGAATTTCTTACAGTCTTCATATCCCCTTCTTATGGAAGGCTAAAAGCTGTTTAGCAAATAAAACTTCACTTGTTTTTGACTGATTTTCTACTTGGGTTCTTTTACTCTGGGTTTAAGTGTCATGAATGGGGAAACTAAATCAAAGCTTGTATCTTCCAGGCTGTAAAAGTTTGTTGATTTGCTTTGTCCCTGTCAAGAGCTTGTTGCCTGTTTTCAGACTTAGAAAATTTCTCTGGAGCAAAACAGACTGGTCAACTTAGCTGTCCAAAGACCTTTCTTCTCAGAAATCTTAGCCCATCCAATTCTTGCAATATCTCTGTCTTTCTGTTATTTTAAATGGATAATTTCTGACTTTTAATCTGTAAGTATAATTGCTTTATGTTGTCAGATAATCTAACATAGAAGGTTAATTCTACAGATATAAACACAATTTTAGCCTGACACTAATAATGTAATATATTATATTTATAATGTTATTATATTAATTAACTATAATATATAATTTTGATTGTGCAAAGAACAAATCTTAAAGTGATATAAGCTTTGATGCCTTCAGTAAAATTTCTGCTCTAGAACAACACATGTTAAACTCATTCCATATCTAAAACAGCAGCAATAAATAGCAAGGGATGCACACGTAACAGAAGCCCCCGAGAAAAGGACATGTTAACATATGTACCATTAGCAAGACACCTGGCCTCTGTTCTCCACTTTTGTTCAGTAACAGCAAAATGACCTTGTTCCTTACATTGTGTGTAAGCTGTTTGGGTCATGTTTACTACTACATGGCAGCAAGTGAAATTCAAATTTCTGATTCATTTTATACATTGGTGGTGATCCACAGTTGGTCCAGAATGTTCCACACTTTTTGAATACACAGAGGGATTGGAGAGGCATGTTCCTTGGTGTTTATTTGCCCATCTTCATCTACATGATTATGCAAAATGGACGTGGGTAGCTAAGTTAAAGTGGGCTTGAATTGTCATGATGTTCAAGCATGACTATGGAAGTTTTGTTTAGACTTGTTAATGGTCATCCCAAATCCATTTGATTTCTGTAGCTGATACCAATGGCAAAGTCATTAATGCTGTCTACTATACTTATGCCATATATTTGTGTTTGATTCTGTTCTGAGTTTTATCTCTTTCATAATTCACTTTTAAAGTTTGATAAAGACTAAAAACTTAACTTCCTTTTCTGATACATTCTTAGAGGTAAAAGTAATTCCCAGAATTGTACAGGTCCTAAAACTCCAGAAGTATAATATACTGGCTTTTAAGAATAAATCCAGGAGTATAATATACTGGATTTTAAAATAAATGTTAAGTTATAAGGAAAGTTTTTAAACAACTCATTTTTTTCTGAGAAGGTTCAATGACATTTCCTATTGAGTACAGCATAAATTTACTTACAAATGGCACCATAACTTCACTAGGCTTACTGAACATTACAGCAAACCATTACCATTCAGACAAATGCAATATTTTTCCAGTGTATTATATATATTTTATACAAATAAAACTTTCCTTACTCTAAAATCAAAGCTAATCTATAATAACTGAAGGCTACATTAGGCAACGAAAGTAAAGTTAAACACACAAAAAAATTTAAAACTTACCATTCCTATCAAACATTATAAAATCAAATATCTGTAGTCAGCATTAAACTTGAGAGTCAAAATTCAGAGGAAAGGTCCTCTTTTTAAAGGTAGGGAAAACTAGAGACCCCAAGAAAATACAATCTGTTCATTATACTGGGACTTCTATCTATGGTGGTAAGGGAAGGAAGGGGACAGAGAATGTCAATGCCTTCAAGAACCCTCAGTTACCTTAGAGGAAGTTGGTTCATAATTTAGATTCTGAGATTAAATTTTTAGGGGATTGCATCAAACCAGTGATTAGCAGACTGGCTTCATAAAGAAAGAGTAGCAAGCATATGATATTTTCTCCTTAATTTTTATTGTATAGTAATTATTTGAGACGTTTAATTCTAGTGCTCAGGGCATGCTTGTGAATAAGCACACATAACAATCTCTAGGATACACGGTGCTCACAACAGGACACGGCACAACTTCCATGCACTGATGTTGTAATGAAATGTGTGTTTACATATTATTCAGGAGAAAGAGTTGTTCTAAATTTTACAGCTATGCAGATTGCTTAACCCCAAAAGGTCAAGACCTCATAAAGAATTACAATGTAGCCTAAAAGAACATAAAGTTATATGGTGAAAATAGGGGCCACAAACACACACAACTTTAATTTTTCTTCAGTGAATTGAAAAGTTCCAGAAAGTCATAAAGACTTTAGTTTCATTAGCTGTTATGACAATAAGCACCGAGATATTATGGAAAAAACGAATACAAAACGCACAGCTACAAAATCCCAAGTAGAACTAGTATTAATAAAAGAGTAACAAGTTTAGAGCTATTTTTTTGGGATACCATAGGTTGAATTACTGGTTTAAAGCTATTGAATAATATAACTTCTTAAAAGAACAGTTACAACAAGTTTAACGCAACTGAGCGATGATGAACTATTTACAACACTTAGCTGACTACAAAGCTACTTCTGCAGTGGGGATTTTCCTTAACTTCTCTCTCACAATCTTCCATAAACAGGTTTGGTATCACCGGATTCAGGAATTTGAACTCACCAGTCCCAGAGTCTCCGGTCAGATGCACCTCATACTGGTAGCTCTGGGACAGGGTTCCCGCGCCGCTGAGATCCACCAAGTGAGAAGGAAAGTGTCCTTCAGGCACAGAGCAGCCACCCAGAGAGGCTGCCCTGGCTCTCCTGCAGAGCCTCAACCCCACAAACAGAAGCACAGACAAGAGGAAGAGCAAAGACACAGACGCCAAGGCAATGACCAAATAGAGTGTGAGCACGTCATCGTCACGCGCAGCGTCGCGCACCACTTCGGGTAGAGGCAGGTAGGGCTGAGAGAAGCCATCAACCACCAACACTTGCAGAGTGACACTTGCTGAGCGCTGAGGATCGCCATTGTCCTTGACCAGCAGCAGCAGCCTGTGCTTGGGCGCATCGCGCTCACTCAGCAGCCTGGAGGTGCGCACTTCGCCATTGTGAGCCCACAGGCTGAACAACCCTGGCTCCGTGGCCTTGAGCAGCTGGAATGACAGCCAGGAGTTCTGGCCAGAATCGCGATCCACTGCCACCACCTTGGTGACCAGGTAGCCAGGCTCCGCCGCCCTGGGCAGCAGCTCTGTGCAGGGCGCAGAGGCGTTCTGCAGCGGGTAGAGCACGAAGGGGGCATTGTCGTTGGCGTCCAGCACCAGCACGCGCACCAGCGCCTGGCTACTGAGGGCAGGCGAGCCTTGGTCTGTGGCGCCCACGAGGAACTCGAAGGTCTGCAGGGTCTCATAGTCCAGCGCCCTGAGCGCGAACAGCTGCCCATTGTCGGCATTGATGGAGATGAGCGAGGAGAGGGCCAGCTGCGGGTCGAGGGTTGGCAGCATTGAGTAGGTGATGTGGGCATTGGAGCCTGAGTCTGAGTCTGTGGCACTGATGGTGCCTATGTGCAGGGCGGGACTGTTGTTCTCTTGGACAAACAGGGTGTAGGAGCTTTGTGTGAAGGCAGGGGCGTTGTCGTTGACGTCAGAGACCTGCACTGTTATGGTGTGCTGGGTTGTGAGCCTGGGTGTGCCCAGGTCGCTGACTGTGATGGTGATGTTGTATTCGGCTCTGCTCTCTCTGTCCAGTGCTCCTTCAGACACTATAGTGTAGAAGTTCTCTACAGATGGTTTCAGGATGAAGGGGAGATCGTTCTGGATGGAACAGGTTACTTTTCCATTATCTCCAGAGTCTAAATCAGCCACACTGAAAACAGCCACCACAGTCTCTGCTGAATTCTCAGGGATAGGACTGGTAACTGATGACAAAATCAGTTCTGGTGGGTTATCGTTCACATCAACTACCTGGACTATGACTGTACATTTTCCCGAAAGGCCTCCACCGTCCTTGGCTTCTATGTCAACTTCGTAAGTATTAATTGTTTCGTAATCCAAACGTTTAACTAGCTTTATCTCACCAGTAATGGGATTTAGTTGAAAAGTTTTGAGAATTTCTTCAGAAGCATGGAAAAACACATACGATATTTCACCAAAATTCCCCGTATCTAAGTCAGAAGCTGAGACCGAGATAATGACAGAGCCAACAGGGCTCTTCTCTAGAATTTGAACCTCATAGAGTGACTGTGTAAATTCTGGTGCGTTATCGTTTATGTCTAAGACCAGGATGTGGACCTGGGCAGTGCCAGACCGAGGTGGGGATCCTCCATCCAGGGCTGTGAGAGTTAAACTGAGCTCTGCCTGCTCCTCCCGATCCAGAACTCTGTCCAGCACAAGTTCTGGATACTTCCTTCCATCCCTCCGAAGACGGGTGCGAACGTGGAAATGGGACCTGGGAGAGACCGTGTAGTTCTGGAGTCCGTTTCTTCCCACGTCCGGGTCCACAGCATTTCCCAAAGGAATTACTGTCCCGGGTGGGGAACTTTCCAGGACTTTGAGCTGCATTGCATTTTCAAAAAACTCTGGGGCGTTGTCATTTACATCTATGACCTCGAGCTCATTCGTAATAAACTGCAAAGGATTGTGCAGCAGTATCTGAAAGTGCAGCACACAAGGCTCTGCGGAACCGCACAGCTCCTCCCGGTCCAATTTCTCAACCAAGAGCAAATCTACGGTCTGATGGTTGAGCTGAAAATACTGTATGTTCCCTTTGAAAACAGCCTGAGCTCTCCTTTCATCCAGTTCTTCTACCCTGAGCCCCAGATCCTTCGCTAAATTGGCTATTAAGAAGCCTTTCTCGTTTTCCTCAGCCACAGAATAGCGCCTAGACCCGGACCCAGCCAGAGACCCACCTAGAAAAACAAAGAGAAGCAAGACTTGCCTTTGCTTAAGAAAGCTCTCCTCCCTGGCGTCCATTGTATTTCTTCAGTGTTTTTCCAAGGGCTCGTCACCAAAAGGAGCTTTCTGTTTCTCTGTGAAAAGCAAAGCCTTTTGGAGATAGCCTAACAGTTAATGTTTTCCAGAGATTTATATTTTACTGCTTAAAAGTCTGTCCAGGTCCACAAGCCCTTGTTTTATCGCACCGGATCGATCGGTTTGTCTGTGAGTATGGAGTGTACAAGGTCTTAATTCTCCTTTTTAGTCAACAGCGCCACCATGCGTTCATTTTCAGTTTTAAATTTTTAGAAAAGGTGCCGGTTTTGTTACTGGTTTATTTTAGATTTTTCAACCCCTTATCAAAATCCCCTAATCAAACCTATTTGATCCTACTGAGGGAGTTTCTTGTGACCCACAAGTTAAACAAAAACTAGGCAAGTATAATACACTAACTGGAATTAGCTATCTCTAATAAGAGTCCTCATTTACATGATTTACAAGTGTGCACATGCTTGCGTACCTACCTACAAATTTTTAAAGATTTTGTTTTAAGTGATTAAAATGCTTATCTCCCCTTTCTGTGTTTTTTTTCAGTTTTTGGTAAGTGTGTGGGTTTCAATAATAATAGAAGAAACACTATGAAAAGTCAAGGTGATAAAATATGATAACTTACATCAGATGGCTGAAAATGTATAATTGCTTCCATATTTTCATGCTCCTGTAGTACTTAAAAATATTTACTCTTCTTTCACAGTAATTTAATAACTATTAGCTTAGCATTTATTAACTCATTACCTTGGGTGATTATTTAATTTCTAGAAGTTATACATATAATGGTAGCAAGGTACGATCTATGAATTTTGTAGTTTCACATCTAACAGAGAGCACAGATCTTAAACATGTTCAAACAATGTGAAGCATGTGACACAGGAAACACACTGACTGCACAGAACATGATGGAGAGTAATTATGAAAATTCTCCCCAAAGTCTTGGCATTTAATATGGACTGTTAAGGATGAAAAGTGTAACAGGTGATGCAGAAGAAAAGAGCCTCCAAGAGTAAAGTATTGAGAATTTAGATTAAGGACAGTGTGCCGGAGCTTAGTGTCTCAAGAGCTACAGAAATGAAGGAAGTGAAACCAAGGAGAAATTTAAGTACTTGTATTTTATCTCTGAGCAAAAGAGGAGCTATTGTAAGGTTGTAGGCAGACAAAAAAACGAAGCAATGATGATAATGTATAATCAATGTGCTCTCTGTACAAGTAGCAGGAGTGTTACACACTTGCTCATTATTGAGTTTATTCCTAATATTAGTGACACTGAACCTAATAGCAACTGTATGTCTAATGTTATGTTACTGTGCTTGATAATAACTGCAAGATAGCTTGTTGACAATAACTGAAACAGTTGCGGCCCTGGGAGGTCACTTAACCAAGATCCCACATGGATAAGGTCGCTAGCTAGAGACTTCTGATACCAAGACCGTCCTTTCTGTCCCTGATAATCTCAAATGAAATATTAACATTTCACACACTTCATAGCATGTCTAATTCAAATACACATAAACTCGTGTAAAAATTAGTAGAAGGTTGAGAAACAATAAGAATTAAATAGCGATAGCAGGTGTGTCACAAATTCAACTTCAAGAAGTGAGGAAAGTCGGGTGAGTGACTTGAGAAACGTAGGAGCATATTTAAATTATAAATGAAATACCAGAAATTCTGTATTCACTGAGGCAGTGGATAGGAGAGGAGACTTGAATTAAACATTAAGAGAGAAGCAAAGATACATTGAAAAAAAGAGTGATAACCGCACAGCACCCAAATGACGGCAGCAAAGTCAGCTTATTATTTGTATGTCAGAGGATGTAGTTCCAGCAAAGTAACTACAGCAAAATCAGGTCCTTATATTGTATGTCAGAGGATGTAGTTCCAGCAAAGTAACTACAGCAAAATCAGGTCCTTATATTGTGTGTCAGAGGATTTAGTTCCAGCAAAGTAACTACAGCAAAGTCAGATCTTTATACTGTATGTCAGAGGATTTAGTTCCAGCAAAAAAGTTTTGTTCATTAGATATCTTACCATATTTTTTAAATTATCAGTATGTCACAATTAAAGCAATTCTTTCAATCAATTAGTTAAAAATATTAAGAACCTAAAGCATCTTAGTGACTGTGCTAATCGGAAAATAGATGGAAGTTATCCATAAACACAACTCAAAATTAAATTTTTTAAAAAATTACTTTTGTGTGTGTGCTTAAGTTAGAGGAGTTTGTTTTTCTACTTCCATCATGTGGCTCAGGGGAATAAACTCAGGTTGTCAGGGCTATTGGCCATTTCATTGGCCCATCACAAGCTTTGTTTTAAAAAAAAAGCTTGAAAGGTCTATGGTACTAAAGAGAGAAAAATAACCAAAAAGAACAAGTCCATCCAGAAAATAAATAAAAATTATAATAAATTCACATTACGTTTCAATGAGTTATGCTCAATTAAATATTTAATGCCCCAGAAAATTTTTAAAAATGGAGTGTCAAGCTACATACACATTTTCTAAGTTGGTAAAAGATGAAAGCATACTCTCTTGTATATAGTTCAATTATCATAAAGTCCTCGAGTTTAAATAACTAGAAATATTAATGCAATGCCTATTTTCCCAACACTCTGGATGCGGGATGACCTGTCACAAGATCAAGACCACAATGAAATCTTGTCTCTAAAGAATCTTTAAAAAGTATTGAGTTCAGAATAAGAGTTTTGAAAGACTATTTGAATTGAAATAAAACACGAAAAATTATCATGTCTTTGAAAACTACTAGGCATGTATTTTGTAACTATGCTTTAGAATCACTATGATTTTGGTTGACTTTGTTTTGTATTTGTAATTTGAACACTTTGTGAGACCCAACAATTAGGATTTCCACAATCTTAAAGAATCATAAGTTTTCTATGCTGATACTTTCAAATATGTGCGTAAATCAACATGGAAAGAGTGCTATATTGCTCACACTCATGTAAAGAGTTTAAAGTCAGAGCACAATATAAAAGTTACATTAACGAGAGACTAAATGAACACAAATGATCTGGACTGCAAAATATTACAACCTGGGTAATGAGTGAAAATATTTTTAGACAGTACTTAAGAATAATTCAGAACTGGAGACGATAAATGTGGGCAATGATGCTCTAACTCAAAATTTAAAGATTTCTGCAGGGTTCAGGGTCATGTGCCTTTAGTCCATCACTCAAGAGGCTGAGGCAGGTGGATCTCTGTGAATTAGAGACCAGCCCAGCCTACATAGTGAGTTCCAGGACAGTCACAGCTTAAAAAAAAAAAAAAACAACTCTGAACACAAATTTTACTTGCACATTATAAGCCAAATAAAATTTCAAGACTAATCACAATTGAAATACAAGCAAAATTTAAACTCCTTATTCCACAAACCATACGTATTTAGAAATAGCAGTAACATGCAAAGAATCAGAGAGGGGGAAGATATTCCTTCAACTGGTAAAGCAGTAAGATCAGGCCTTTAACGTTTTAGCTAAGACTCGATTCTGTATTTTCCTCATTAATATTTAGCTGATTTCTGTAATTGGTGTTTGCGTCATTCTCTCTCTCAGAACTTTGAAGAAGAAAGTTGGGAAAAATAGGCTTCAGAAACTTGAAATCTGTGGTCCCAGAGTCCCCAGTCAAGCACACCTCATACTGGTATCTCTGGGACAGGGTCCCTGTACTGCTGACATCCACCAGGTGACCAGGAAAGTGTCCCTCAGGAACAGAGAAGCCACCCAGAGAGGTCGCCTTGGCCCTCCTGCACAACCTCACCCCCACGAACATAAGCACTGACAAAAGAAAGAGTGAAGACACAGATGCCAAGGCGATGACCAGGTACAATGTGAGTGAGTCCTCATCCTGCGTGGAGTCGCGCGCCACCTCAGGCAGAGGCAGGTAGGGCTGAGAGAAGCCATCCACCAGCAGCACATGCAGAGTGACACTCGCAGACCTTGGAGGATCGCCATTGTCCTTGACCAGCAGCAGCAGCCTGTGCTTGGGCGCATCGCGCTCACTCAGCAGCCTGGAGGTGCGCACCTCGCCATTGTGAGCCCATACGCTGAACAACCCTGGCTCTGTAGCCTTGAGCAGTTGGAATGACAGCCAGGCGTTCTGGCCAGAGTCGCGATCCACTGCCACCACCTTGGTGACCAGATAACCGGGCTCTGCCGCCCTGGGCAGCAACTCGGTGCAGAGCGCAGAGACGTTCTGCAGCGGGTAGAGCACGAAGGGCGCATTGTCGTTGGCGTCCAGCACCAGCACGCGCACCAGCGCCTGGCTGCTGAGCGCGGGCGAGCCTTGGTCTGTTGCACCCACGAAGAACTCGAAGGTCTGCAGGGCCTCGTAATCCAGCGCCCTGAGCGCGAACAGCTGCCCGTTGTCGGCATTGATGGAGATCAACGATGAGAGGGCCAGCTGCGGGTCGTGGGTGGGCAGCAGCGAGTAGGTGATGTGGGCATTGGAGCCTGAGTCTGAGTCTGTGGCGCTGATGGTGCCTATGTGCAGGGCGGGGCTGTTGTTCTCTTGGACAAACAGGGTGTAGGAGCTTTGTGTGAAGGCTGGGGCGTTGTCGTTGACGTCAGAGACCTGTACTGTTATGGTGTGCTGGGCTGTGAGCCTGGGTGTGCCCAGATCAGTGATGGTGATGGTGATGTTGTACTGCGATTTGGTCTCCCGGTCCAGGGCTGTATTTGTCATAAGAGTGTAAAAGTTCTCAACTGAGGGTTTTAGAATAAAAGGAAGATCCTCTGGGATGGAGCACACCATTTTTCCATTGTCTCCAGAGTCAGGATCTGCTACACTGAACACAGCAATTACGGTTTCCGGCGAGTTTTCTGGGATGTGATTGGTAACTGTGGACATAGTCAGTTCTGGTGGGTTGTCATTCAAATCCATCACTTGGACAATCACCACACTGCTTCCAGAAAGGCCCCCACCATCTGTAGCCTGAACATACACTGTGTATGTCTGGATGGATTCGAAATCCAGAGCCTTTGCTAAAAGGATTTCTCCGGTTGTTGCATTCATACGAAATGTTTTCCGAATGTCTTCAGAAGCTTGGGAAAGAGCATAAGCTATTTGTCCGTTGTCCCCAGTGTCTAAATCCCTAGCAAAGACAGTGGCAACCTGGAATCCAACGGGACTGTTCTCTGGGACCTGAACCTCA